ACTTGGGGGGGGGGCCCCCCCATGGGGTCCTGCTGTGTGGCTGTGCTTGACCCACTCCATCTCTCTCCCTACAGCATTCGTGCTGGAGCTGCGGAAGCGTGGAGGCCCCTAGGGTGCAGCCCCCTGCCCCCCACCCCGTGGTGCCTTACCCAGGCTCAGCACCCCCTGGGGGCTGTCTCAGCAGTGCCACGCCCTGGGGGTGGGGCCATGCCCCCTCCCTGCAGACAGGGCCACGCCCCCCACTCCTCCCCCCTTCCCTGGTGCACTGGGTTTTTCGGGGTTCGGTTGTTTTATAGCTTTGGGGAGGCCTTTCCAACCCCCCTGCCCTGGGGTGGGATTGAGACCCCCCCCCCCCTTGCCCCACCCCTTGGTATCAGGTGGGGCTAATTCAGCCCCACCCCCCCAGCATGGAGGGTGGGGCCTGGGTCCCCCCTCTCCCCCGAGAGTTCAGCTTTGTTTCTCTCTTTTATACGGTTTTTTTTGTTTTGTTTTGGTTTTTTTTACTGATTTCACGGGTTTTGGGCCTTGGCCCGAGTTCAATAAACCTGCCTTTTTGTATGGCACCTGCTGCCAGGATTCGTAGATGTTAGGGGCTGGAAGGGATGTCTGGGTTCTGGAAGTGGGTACAGATGCCAGGGCACCTGACCTGGGGCTCAACTGGCAGGGCATGGTGGGGGGTGTGCCAGGATGCCTGGGTCCAGGACAGCTGGGTTCTGGGTTGTGGTTGGGGGGTGGGGCAGGGCAGGGCAGATGACAGACTTGGGCACCAGGGCCTACCTGGGCCTCCCCGGCAGCATCTGAGGGACCCTCAGTGATAGGGCTGGTTGGAGCTGTACACCCTGCCCCACCCCTCCCCAAGTGCCTGGGGGAAGAGTGAAGGCTATAGCTGGGAGGGAAGGGTCCTGGTCTCTTTCCCGCCCCCCTCCCCCCAGCAGGCAGCACTGGGCCTAATGCCCAAGACACACCCATCCCTAAGCAGCGGTGACATGCACCTGAGAGTGCTGGTGCACTCCCTGTCAGGCTCTGCTCCCTGTTTTAGGTGATGGGCAGGGGAGCAGGTGCTGGTGCCCCTCATGAGCACTGGACAGGGAGCGGGGCTGCGTGATCAACCACTAGGGGCCTCCCCCACGGTCACTGACTGCTGTCAGGGAGGCACCAGTTACCTATGTCCCCAAGCACCTATCACATGCATATGTGCAAAATGGACTTCCTAGCTCATGCACCTGCATCTACCTAGGCAGCTGCCTCAACTGAGCCTGGGCCCCTCACCCCTGCCCAGGCAGCAGAGGGTTGCAGCAGCTGGTTGCTGGGACTCCTGGGTTTTCTTCCTGGCCCCTGAAGCACAGGGTTGGGAGGCAGGCTCCTGGAGAGGTACAGGAAAAGCCAGGACACCTGGATTTTTTTGCCTTGGTGTACCTGCTGCCCTCCCACCCCACCAGCTCTGCTGGTGCCCCTCACTACTGACTCAAAACCGCCTGCCCCTCATATCCAGCTGGTACTCATCCCTCCCCTTTCCTCTGCCCCAATCACAGCTCTGCTCCTTCAGCAGCAGATGGGTTTTAATGAGTGGCTTTTTCAGTCCAGTAGACTTGGAGGCTCCCCAGGAGCCAAGGTGGAAGGGGAGGGTCCCCCATTATAGTGCAGTGCCCTGCCCCAGGGGCGCCTTTGGCAGTGGCCATAGGGGGCCCTACTTGCGGGGAACGCTGGCCAGTTCCAGCAGGGCACGGTCAGCCTGGCGCAACCGGGCATCAAGAGTCTCCAGGGCCAGGCCCAGCTCAGCCACCTGCTGCTGCAGGGACTCCATGGCGGCACTCTGCTCGTCCTCGCGGCGCCGTGCGTTGCCTGCCTGCCGGGCATATTCCAGGTAGATGCACAGGCCACCCACGCTGAACACGATGGCTTCGCCCAGCAGCTCCGCGCCCAGCTCTGCTGCCGCCTCTTCATTCAGTGGCTTCACGGCTGCGCCCCGGAAGCCCATGATGCGCATCTTGGTCCGCATCTCCACCCAGTGGTACACTGCCCGGAGGGGGGAAACGGTGGGTCAGGGGGGCTGGTGTCCCTCACTCCTGACCTCCAGCCCTGCAGTGCCCCTCCCTCCCAACCTGCAACCCCCTGCCACTGCCCCTCACACACAACCCACAACCCCCTGCCCCCCCAGCCCTACCGGTAC